TTTCACTGTGTTCATGGTCACTTCTGTTTGAAGGAAGACCTCAATTATCCCAATCATTTTCTCTCCTTCCCGATTGTTATCATTTTATTCCATTTTTACTTACTAACTTTGTCATATAGAGTGCTGTATGTTCAACAGTGAATTCTGAGCAGCTAGTATTAAATTCTAAACACCTACTTGCCATTATATTAGTATTCTAAATAATCTCACGTGCATATAAGTCCTTTGAAAATAAAAAATATCCTAAAAATCAAAAAAGAAGCCATGAGACTTGTAATTTAAAAAAATTATTTTTTCCAGCATTGGTGATGGCAAGTGCATATGTTACCTCTGAAATTTACCCTTAAGATGTCCTTTATAAGCTTCTCAGAACACTTTACAGTTGCTTATTGCTTATTTCAGAGATCTGCAAAAGACTGCAAGAAGTAGGTTATTATAAAGTGAGACCAACTCTTCACTGTCACCTTTTTAAATGATCTATAACAATTTGTTGCTTTTCCAGATGCAAATACAGACACAGGCCAGTTAATTAATAATATTAATGTCATCTAACAAAGTAGGACAAATAGAACAGAAACAAAGCATATCCTGTATGGTACCCTCATGGTATATGACATCAAAATCAAATAGTATTTTAGTGTTCTAATAGATAAGGGATTAAAAATGAGAAGGGGGAAGAGGGAGAGAGGGAGGAAGAAGGTGAGAGGGAGAGAGAGAGAAGTTGAATTTTGCTACAGGTATGAAAGAGACCTGTTGTAGCCTAACCAGTTTGCAGCCTAACAATCAAGAAAAGACCAGAGAGGATTATGGAAAATGTCTTTATTCTTATCTTGCCAAATTCTCAACTCTCAATCCCTTCAGATGAAGTACTTTCATTTATCGCTCACCAAGAGGAAATAAATCAGGCAAAAGCAATGACCAGTATAATTTGAGAGGTAGTAGCAAGATGACTGTTCTTGTGAATAGAAGTATTTGTCATTTTGGAGAGAATACTCAGTATGCACTCCTTTCTTTGTCTATGGCTAAATCAAAAGCTTTAATCTCCTCCTCCTTCTTCATTTTCTTCTTTTTTTTCTAGAATAAGGGCCATAAGCTAAAGTTATAATTAAATCCTGGACTAAGAAGATAGATGTTCATTTCATTCCTGTTGGCTACATAGTTCAGGCATTGTCTCTCTACTTATTCATTGAGTAGAGTAGGAGGTTCAGTGGTCACATTTTTAAATGCTACCTGTAGCCTTCCTACTTCTGAAAAAATGCCAATGCTCACTCCTCTAATATAAATGTTTTCAAACTCACCTTTGTACATGCACCGTATAATTTACAGATTATTTTCTATCCCCCCACCATTACATTCTTTACCCAGAGCATTCAAACATTTAACTGTAGTCCTCTTTTGATATTGTCTTCATTGTTTTTACATGTTTTCTTTAATGCAAGAATGAATTTTTGTTTGTTTGTTTGTTGAGACAAGGTCTCACTCTATAACCCAGGCTAACCTCAAACTTACTGTGATCCTCTGGCTTCAGCCTCCCAAGTGCTGGGATCACAGGTGTGATCACACCCAGCTAATAACAAATATTTGCATATAACTTTTTCACATACTTTACTCCATACTTTAAATCATATCTAGATTAGTTATAATACCTAGTTCAATGTAAATTTTATGCTTTGTTTCTTAGGAAATAATGAGAAGAAAATGTCTGTATATATTCATTATAGAAGCAATCAACATAGGTCTGGTTACACAGAACATGTCAGCAACAACTTTGTTTCTTTTCCCTTTTTTTCTTCAATATTTTTGATTTATGGTTGGTTGAATCTACAGATGTGGAATCCATAAATGTAGAACTAATAGATATTGAAAGGCAAATGCGTATTGAAGAAACACTGAAAAAAAGGATGGGTATAAAGATGGCTCCCACCTTATGAGTTTTAACTTATAATGCGTTGTCTTGATGTTGCAGAAGTAATACATATTCCGGAGAAGCTAGTTTGAATTTTGATCTTTAAATGGGCCAGTAATAATCAGTATGAGGTCAGATAGTCTCAAAACGCCAGTCAGTGACACCAGGCACAGCTCTGACAGAGTTATAATCACCAGGGTAAACAGTCAACACTCTGTCGTATGCTGTGTTATCAAGCTGTAACTGTTAGTAGGTTATGTTTATTACATGAATTTTTGGTTTATGGTATTTTCAAATTCAGGGTTTATTGGTGCATAATCCCACAAGAAGTCAAGAAGCATCTGTATGAATTCCATAAGCACAACTTGCCAGCTCTGTGAGCTCTCTCAGCTTCAATTTCTGCAATAGGAAAATGAGGTGACAATTCTGTCCTATAGCTCATTGCATTATTTACTTGAAGGCCAAATGCAGCAACACACACTTTGAAAATTATTAACTATCATGTCAAATTATTAATTGTAGCGAGCCTAGGTGAAATAAAACATAATTAGAAGTACAACAGTTTGTTTTGACATTCTGCTCATCATGGAAGTAAAACTTCTTCTTTTCTGAGAAACAGTAAATAGTAAAGGCCAGCCTGCAGATCTGAGCACTAGGATGTTTATAATCCAGTTCTTGTTTTGTCATTGAATTCATAGTTTAGTACAAATGTGCTGCATACTTTTTACTTGACTCATCTTTTCTAAAATGGTAGAGGTTATTATATTCCTTTTTAAAAATAAACCTGGGTGGGCATTGTTTTAAACTACCACCTCGATTCTGCAGGGATGGTTGGCACTTGACTGTTTCACAGACACAAATATAGTGAGTTACTGAACTCGGCCTATGTCCTGTCATGGGGACCTAAGAAGAAAAAGATATATTCTTAAAATATTATGAAGTTCTTAAGTGGCAAACTTCATAATCTTAATGGGAGAAAAGCCAAAGCACGGATGGTTATCTTTTTCTAAATTTTTTGACCTTGTTTGTTTGGCTTTTGTTTTGTTATTGGATTAATGTCTTCATTTTCCAGTGAAAGTGTTATTGTTTCCCCAGGTAGAATCGTGTATTTGCTTTGAAGTTCAGAAGGTCCACATTTCTGCCCTATTGATTACAAAGCAGCATGTTTAAAACTACTTCAAATATATGAGATGATTACACATATTAGGCTCGTTTAATGTTGACAGAGTTGCCATTTATCAGCCAGTAATACACGCGACAGGTAGCATGTTCATATCTGTTTTTTATACTCACACAGCCTTGATTTAGTCTTTTTTTTTTTTTCTTTGTTGGTACTGGGGATCGAACTCTGGACCTTTTGCTTGTGAGGCAGGAGGCAGCATCACTAAGCTAAACCCCCAGCCCCAAGTCTTTTTTTTAATTACAAGAGACAGAGTTATATGCACAAGCCAAACTATTTAGCCATCACATTCAAATTTCTCTTTTGGCAAGTAAGAGAAATAAAGTAGCATTACTGACTTTGCAGCTGAAAAATTTTCAGTTATTTAATCATTTAGTATGGTGACCCTGAATTACTCCCTTTTCTTTTTCCTTCTTTTCTCAATTGTTATGTACACATTGTTTATTATTTACAGGTAATACAACAGTAGAAAAGGAAAATGCATTTGTCTGCTGTATTACTTACATGCTTAGGAAAAGAACTATTTGTGATAAAATCTGTATGAAAATTATTTGCAAAATTTATTTATGCCTTTTACGCTTCTCATTAAAAACTATGTTCTACTGGGCATTGTGGCATATGCCTATAATCCCACTTAGGAGGTTGAGACAGGATTGGCTCAAGATTGGCCTACCAATTGAATTCAAGGTCAGTTTGAAGTACATATCATGACCCTGTTTCAAAAGAAAGTTACCAGAAAATAAAGCTGTTCTATTCAACATACTCAAATTATAAAGATAAAACTTTCATATTTCATACTTTCTTAAACATCTCTGGCTGATCAATATAGGATTATATTATGGGCATAGAATTCTACAACTTGAGGTTATATCTTGGAGATCTTCAGTTTAAGACTGTCATCTTTCCTTTTAAAAGTTTTTTTATTAACCCACAACAAAGAAAAGATAAATAATAATATTATATTTTTGAATCTCTTCTTATTTCTAATGTTTTAATTTTAATCTTTTTTTCCTTTTTTGTCGGGGGGTTGTTTTGTTTTGCTTTTTGGTGCTGGGCATTGAACCTAGGGCCTCAGGCATATTAGGTAAGTCCTCCACCACTGAGCTACATCCCAGCACCTGTTTATGTTGTGTTAAGTGATTTTGTGTACAACATTGTACATATTCCAGAATTGGTTGGCCCTTGGTTTTTTTGTTTTTTTTTTTTGTAATTTCCAAAATTTTCCTTTAAGTTCTGCATGTGATTTTTCTATTCTAGGTAATGCAGGTAATTTCTTCCAGTCTCTGGTTAGTATTAAACTTTGCTATGTTATTTCTATTATTGTTCAACTGTTAAAAAAATTTACGTAGTCAAAATTCCAAAGTTGTCCCCCTTTTTTCTTTTTGGCCTTGTGTATTTTGTGCTTCAAACAAGATCTTTTTCCATGAAATTTTATCTCCCTGTTTGTATGAATAATTAAATATTTTAGCTTTCCAGCTACTTGTCAAATATTTTACCTATATTTTTCCATCTCCACAGAGATCCCAAAAGTTTATTATTATTCTTGCTTTAGGAAAGCTTATCAGTCTCACTTTAAAGATGGTGTGCCTGACTTTTGACATAGCATTTTAGCATGATGTTTTTCCATTGTAGCTATAATATGGTAAACAATGAGTATCATCTTGTATATTTGGACTCAAGCATGAGCTTGAGTAATTTGTGTCGGTCACTGTAATCCTGCTGTAGCTGCACACCAAACCTCCTGAGTGATTAGACAAAATGCTTCTGTGTCTGTATTTTTACTTAGTCCATTGTACAGATTTTAAGTGTCATATAATTCATCAGCAGAAATTTATTTAGATTCCTATTATTTTAGTATATCAGCGAAAGAAAGCAAAAATAATTTATTCATAAAAACTTATTTTTTTCCTTCAGTTTTGTCAAAGCAACGCGCTTCACAAGTCCTGGTTAGGAAACGTCGTGCGAATTCTTTGCTCGAAGAAACCAAAAAGGGTAATCTTGAAAGAGAATGCATTGAAGAATTGTGTAATAAAGAAGAAGCCAGGGAGGTGTTTGAGAACAACCCTGAAACAGTAAGAGTCCATGGAAACTATCAAGTTGATACACTTACACATATTTCCAGCTTGAGTTCCCATTTAATGATTTTTTTGTAACACATTTCTCATGTGACTATTTCCATTTTGGGAAGAGGTACCTTCAAGAGAAAGGAGGCTCATTATCAAGCTACTATTACCAATAGCAGTGTGCTCTGAGCAAACTGTAATTCACTTATACCTCATTATCAGCAAACAATGTCAACTCATGGTTTGTAAGTATTTTTTTCCTAACCAGAATTTGATAGTATTGATGGAGAAGAGATGTCTCAAGTACAATACCTTATGTGTTTGTACTGTTATCATTAAAGTTCTTTAAGTTTGTATTTTCTGTACTTTATTGCTAGGCTGTAGAAACAAGACCATCTAATCCCTTTACTTTAGGACTCTGACCAAACAGCAATATCACATCAGATCATCTCAAAAGGGTGCTGCAGAGGAATGCTGCTCACCTCAGGGCAACCTGTAGGCAGAGAGAGTAGGGGGTTGGTGGGGAGAGTGTGCCAGGACAAAAATACAAAATATATTCAGGGCACACCCCCTGGTGACCTACTTCAACCAACTAGGCCCCACATCCTCAGTTTTTGTCGTCTTCCAAAAATACCATCAAATTATTTTTGTTTTTTGTTTTTCTTGTTTTCTTTTTAATTGAGTTTATTGGTACATTTTAGGGATACAGTACAGTTACATTCATTGTTGGGATCTTGTACCTCTACATGACAGCTCTTGGTTCTCATTTTTTCCCCTTGTCCCTGTCCTCCCTTCACCCCCCTCGTCCCCTCCCCATTTACAAACACTTTTAATTCCATTTTTTCATTTTCTCACATTTTTTTTCTTTTCCCTTATTCCCCTTCCCCTACTCTTCCCACTTTCCCTACACCTTTAGCCCTTTTCTTCCTATTTCACATTGTAATTATCCCATTAGGATCTAGAGTCATTCATAGGAAAATGGATACGTTTTTGAGGATATGCTCCTAAGTGAAATAAATAAGTCATACATGTGTAAATACTGAATAGTTTCTCTGGTGTGAAAAACGATAATGCCGTCAAATTATGAATCCATCAGTGGATTAGGGACCTCATGATCCAGTCACCTTCCAAAAGCCTCCCCTGATCACATGAGCCTTTGGAGGGCCATTTTAGATTCCAACTATAACTATTATAGAACCTAGAATAAGAGGAAGAACGCATGAACGAGATATGTCCTGCACCTCTACCATGCCTCTCAGTACCATGAGAAAAGATGAGTGAGAATGAGCAGGACCCATGCATCTGGAATTAGAGAATCTGTCCAAAACTAGCAGGATGTATTATCTGGGGCTATTTTTGAATGTCATTTACCTCTACTTATTCTAATAAGTACAAAGGAAAATTTTTGAAGTACTCAAACATCATTTTTTAATCTTTTCAGGACTGAATCACAATGTTGCTCTCTGTTAGGTTTCCTTAAATGATAAGTAATTAACAAGACAATAATATTTTATTCTTATTATGAAGGGTTTTCTATGTATATTACACATTTTGCTTTTCTAAAATAAAAAGAATGTTTGTACACTCTTAATTATATAATATACATTTCAATAATAAAAAAGGAATAGAGTATATAACATACATTTGATTTTATTATGAAATATTACATATATAAATATATACATATATATATCAAAATAGAATGAACAATATAATAAATCCCACTGTATCCACCTCCTCTTCAGTAATCTGATTGTTTTATTTTACTTATTCTCTACCTTATGCACTCTAATTTTTGCTTTGTTTTGCTGGAAAAAAAATTTTTTTGAGACAGGGTCTCACTATGTGGTTGAGACTGACCTGGATCTCACCATGTAGCCCAGGCTAGTCTCAAACTCACAGTGATCCTCTGCCTCAGCCTCCCGAGTGCTGGGATTACAGGCATCTGCCACCACACCTGGCCCTGCTGGAATTTTTAAATTTTTATTAAATTTGTTAGTACATAATAGGTATACAAAACAGTTACATTCATCTCTGACACCTTATACCTATATGTGACTTATCAGGTTCTTATTTTTCCACATACCCCAGCCCTTCCCCCAGTCTCTCACCTTCCCTGTTTACAAAGACGTTGTTTCCATGTTTTCCCTTTTCACAATTTTTTTCTTTTCGCTTTTTACCTTTCCCCTACCCCTCCCACTTCCTCTATTCTTTTAGAGATTTCTATTATGCAATATCACTTATACATTTTAATCCTTATTTACACTTTTACTTATTTACACACCAGAGAAACTATTCAGTATTTACACATGTAACTTACTAATTTTACTTAAGAATATGGCCTCAGTGTGCATCTGCTTAGCTATAAATCTCTCTAGTTTCTCATTTTTTAGGCTGAGTTGTATTCCATTTTATTAAAAAAACCACATCTTCTTTATCCAGTCTCCAGTTGATGGGCAGTTGGGCTGTTTCCAAGTTTTAGCTATTACAAACAGTGCCGCTATAAATATGGGTGCACATATATCACTGTGGTATGATTCTTTTAATTCTTTTGGGAAGATACCCAGCAGAGGAATAGTTGAGTCAAATGGGACTTCTACTCCTAGTTGTTTGAGGTATCTCCATATTGATTACCACAGTGGTTGCACCAGTCTGCACTCCCACCAACAAGGAAGAAGTGTTCTTTTCTCCCCACAACCTGCCAGCATTTGTTATTAGTTGATTTTTTGATAGCAGCCATTCTTTATGGAGTGCAATGTAATGTGTTGTTTTCATCTGCATCTCTCAAATGACCAGTGATGTTGAACATTTTTTCATATGATTATTTGTTGCTTTTACTTCTTTGTCTGAGAAATGTCTGTTCATTTCAGATGCCCATTTTTGAATTGGGTCTTCATATTTGGGGGGAGTCTGATTTTTTTGAGTCGTTATATATTCTAGATAGTAGTCCTTTGCCTGAGGAAAAGCTGGTAAAAATTTTTTCCCACATTGTGGGTTGTCTCTTAGCTCTGCTTATAATTTCTCAGGCAGTGCAGAAGCTTTTTAAAAAGATTCTTTGTGCTAGCTCTTATGCTACTGAGGATTTGTCCATAAAGTCTTTTCCTTTGCTGATATCTTCAAGAGTTCTACCTAATTTATCTTCCAGGAAGTTTAATAAAAGGTGTCAGAAAAAAATGGATTTCAACTTGTCAAAGATTAAAACTAGACCTGAATCCTTCACCATGCACTAAACTAAAATCCAAGGGGATTAAAGATCTAAATATCAAAACAGAAACACTAAACTTGCTGGAATATTTTAACCCACGTTTGCATGCCTGAGATTATCATAGCATAACATCATTGGTAACTACTTATATATCTACAAAGATATATATAGTTTTATATAACCTGTAGTATGTATATATAAATATATAGTGTATATATATAATATAGTATATGTAGTATACATATATTTTTATAGGTATGTAGTTGTAAATACATTCTTTTTTTTTTGGTAGTGCTGAGGATTGAACTCTAGGCCTTCTTGCTGGTGTACATCCCCAGCACCGTTTTTTTTTTTTTCTTTTTGAAGACAAGGCTAAGTCACTGAGTTGCCCAGGCTGGACTTGAACTTGAGATCCTCTTGCTCCCCTGTCTTTCGGAGCGTTTGAATTACAGGCATGCACCACCTAACCCAGCTTTTAGAGTTTAGCCTTGTAGAAGTCCATGGAAGAGGAGGAAATATCCTGGAGAAGGAAAAAAATCTTTAATGCATTTCTTCACCTCCACTAATTCTAAAATTGCTTTCTTTGACAGAAAACAAAGAGATGACAGAGTAAGGCAGAGATGGGGCAAATGAAGGGAAAGAAAAAAATATTTGTTGTGGCTTGTCATTTTCAATCCCAGCCACTCCCATTCCCCTTAAATGGAACCTGCTTCCAGATTAGAAGCTCTTGAAACATTATTTAATTAATTAATAATGCTTTAAGTCTAGACTCATAGGTTTAATATTACTTATTTACTCTTGGTATACTTTACTGTAGAAACAACTATAATGTAAAAATGCAGTGTGCAATTTATTTCCATCTTCATTAGAAAAATGCACTATAAAATTAAGTTTTATCTCTGTAATTAAATTTAAGTTTGTTAATATATGGTTTTTTTTTTCTTTCTAGGATTATTTTTATCCGAGATACCTAGGTAAGTTCAAAATATGCCAATCATGAAATCATAAAGATGGAAGTGAGCTAAGCCACTTTCCAGGTTGACTCTGACTCTACCTGGATATTCAATACAATATAATTTAATTACCCCTGGGAGGGAGATTCTTTTTTCTGTCCTTTTTATTTAAAACTATGTAAACACATTTGAAATGGTTCTTTAATTACCATGCATACATTTTGACTTTTAGTCTTTTTCTTATTCTTTGGTCCTTCTCATAATTTTGGGCTCAGTTACATTTAGAATCCCAGGCATTCTCCAAAAATACCTTAAAAAAAAAAAGAAAGAACTTTAAGCTCTTCAGAGTTTATGGCATAAACAATTATTATTTAGACATTTAAAGAAAGTATTAATGGCTTCTCTCTTTGTGACACCATTTTATCCACCTTGCAGTATCCATCGTTTCCTGGTTTGGGGTACGTTTTGGCACTCTCAAGGAAGGAGGTCGTTTTTTTCTCACACGCAGGAATTAGATGATTTCAGCTAAATATCAACTAAAGGATGCAAGGCTTAGTACTTGGGACAGGTATCAGTAATTTCAGACAATCAAAATGGAATTTAATTTGTGTACGTCTTTCTGATAGGATTCTCCATGAATCCAGCACCCAGTGGCGTGGTCTCCCTTCTTTAGTTTCAGAATGTCCCTCATCTATGCATCTTTTCTTTGCATTTTCACCTTCTCTGCATAAGTTTTTAAAAAATCTTTAGAAAGTATAGAAATAAACCCATATATACACTAATAACATGCAGCTTAGAATTACTAGAATTTCATACATAATAATGTCTTTTTAAGTCACTTCTCTTGAAATTTGAGGATTTAATTATAATTTAAGGCTTTTTAAAATTTTGTTTTTATTTTGTCTTGTTCTGGGTACCAGTGCAGCAGTTTCAGGGACCATACTGAGATGGGGAACTATTTATACACTAAAATGGTGTCAAGAACTTTTATCTATGCTTTAGGACAATTAACAGGCTAACAGCCAAAGATCACTGGGTAGAAGACTCGTTTTTAGAACCAGTGACTGACTTCACAGCTCCTGAGATGATTTCCACTTTTTAAATGTACATGACAGTGAGCATCTTGTGTTTGAGGTACATGCTGAGCTCTTGAGCTAGGGAAACTCAACAATAATGTACTGTTTCTTGTTCACCCTCTTCCCAACTGTGGGACGTCATTTCAATAGTATCTCTTTAGGACACTGCAAGATCTTAAATTACCTTCCCTGAGCTATAGTGTCCGCATTTTTCAAACGAATAGAAATAATTTGGTTAAAATTTGCAGCAAGAAGTAAAATGAGATAATACTGTCAGAGCACCCGGAAGAATGTTTTCTTTCTTTTTTTTTCCTATTCCTTTTTTCTTTACTTTGTTTCTTTTCCTTCTCATCTCTTCTCTACCTACTAATATCAAACTTTGATAGTTTCGGACAGATTTGGAAAGGGGCCACTGTAATATTAATTGTGACATGATGTTATTTGCATCTATCAATATGAAAATGCAACAAGGTTTTCTAAAACCTGCTGCTGCTATATCTTTAAAGGGTGATGGTATAATAGGTCCATATCCATGAAAATAAAAACTTTTAAAGTTACATGTGACTCCTCACTTTCTAAATAAAAAACTAAGAGTTTGTATTGTTGAAGTGGAGGAAAGACTATTTCAGCATCTCAATTTTAGATTGGAATTTAATTTTTTATAAAACAATATTTGGCTACTAAAAATAATACATTTTGACTGAAAACATTGCTTAACCTTACTTCTTGGGTCCATGCAATGGGGCTGTGTCTCTCTAAGAGCAACACCCTAGAAGATACTTTTTTTTTTCTTTGATCACATAGTATAGTGGAATAAACACAAATTACATTTTAGTACAGTATTTTGATTGGGAGAAGTTCCTTAGATATTTTTCTTTTCTTCCTTTATCCCTCTCAACTTTCTCTTTTCTGACCCCATTTATATTTCTCTTCTCTTTCTTTATCATTTGGCAACATGGTAGAAAACCAAAGTACAGAAACAAACAAACAAAAACCCCAAATCAAACCAAACAAAAACAAAAAGCAAGATGTGTGTTCTAGTTTCTAGCTAGGTCACATTAAGCAAAGCGATTTAACTTTTCAGGATCCATATTTTTAAGTGTACATTATAACTGTATGTTTCATATGAAACAAAAATATACTTTTGGGTATGCTTTTTTTACTCAAATTTTATAATTTGGCCTTTGTATATAAATGCAAATGATACATTCCACTGTTGAACACAGGGGAACAAAAAACCCTGTCAAAGTTAAATTTTTGTCACTTTACATTATATTCTTTGGACAATGATCCTAATTAGAAAAACAAATTGCTTTTATAATTCTAGTTCTGGTTAGGGTTGCTAAGGGCCATACTCTCACAACTACCTCATTACAGGGCGATAAAGTCAGTCAAGAAAACAATCTCTCTAGCCCATAATTTTTGCTGGATGTTTAGACTTGACAGCTCAAGCGCTTTAAAATTCTTCATTCAATACACATATCCCCTATACTGTTTTGACAACATAAAATTTTAAGTAGAGATGCCTTGTTTTTATTATACAAATCAAATTTAGTTTTTTTCTGTAGAAAATAGGATAAATGATTCTACCATCCATATGGTGGAAAGAAATCTCTTGGGGAGAATACTAAACTCTAAGACTAACTGTGAATATTCAAAATCATTTTTAGTTTCTAGGTCCTACTAAGTTGGTTATCAATCTAAACTTCTCATTTCATCCCTTCTTATCATCCCCAGAGAAGCAACAGGATCATAGATCCTATTATAACAAAATAAAATTTATAAATAACAAGAAACATAAGAAATCTATGGATAAATTGCAGGCTGGCTTGACCTGGTGTGTGTGTGTGTGTGTGTGTGTGGGTTCGAGTGGTGAAGGATAGGATAAGGATTTAAAAAATGGCCTAAGTGTTTGAATCAAGAAAACAAACAAACAAAAAGTATAATGGAACAAACCCTGAGTTACAGGATACAAAGAAGAAAATCAAAGATCAGTATAAGTAAAATAAAAATACAAAAGTAAATATTAATGAAAGCAAAATCTCATACTTCGCAAATGTTCATAAGTTAGACTGCAAACATAATAAAAAGAAAAACAGAAAATGAAAGGGAAGAGATGCTAATATACAAAGTTAATAAGAAGAGAAGAAATATTTTAAACCCGTGTAAATAAAAAAGATAATCATAAAATATTCCAAAAAACTATAACCAAAATTTATTTGGAAATTTAGATAAGCCAGTTATGTTCCTAGGAGTGTGTCAGACATCTGTAACTTCACAGGAAGCAATAGAAAATTTAACTGTACAATTAAGCGCTAAACAAGTTGAAGTCTCAAAGTCTTCCTCTTCCTACTCGTTCCCAAATCCAGAAACCAGATGCTATTTTTATAGATGATTTCTTCCAAATTTTCTCTCTTTTAAAATTGTTCTACAAACTGGAAAAAGATTTTGTAACATGAACTTACTCCACAACAAAGGAAAAAAGAAAAATAACATGATCCGTCACTTTATTACTTAATCATCTGGCAAAAATTAGAAAGCAAAGTTGTAAGAGTTCTTATGCTCTGTTGGTGGGAAAAACCTCAGGAGAGCTATTGAGTGCACGTCTATCTGATGATCCCACAGTTATACCCCCGGGTATCTATTCCCAAGAAATCCTCATAACACTAAAGAGGCTTGTATGAGGATATTCATTACAGTGATGGGAATTTGGAACAAATCCAGTGTATTATAGGTAGAGAGGATTATAAAAATGGAGGTCACATGCTATGGAGTAATGATTAGCAACAAATTAAGTGCAGCCAGAGGGGAGGGTCATGAAATTACAGTGCTGAGTAAAGCATATAAGAAAACATGCTATACAATACAAAAACCACTTACAAAAATAAAAAATGAACACAAAGTTATAAATATGTATTTTGTAAGAACACGTACAAATATTTAAAAGGTACAAAAACCCATTCAGGTTCTTGGCCTAGAGCTTGTGACTGTGAGTGGAAGCAGGGACAGAAGATAATGCATACATTTTTAGTTTTTGGAGACAGGGTCTCATTATGTAGCTGAGACTGACCTGGAACTCACTCTGTAGCCAGACTGGTCTTGAACTCACAGAAATCTCCTGCCTCAGCCTCCTGAGTGCTGGGATTAAAGGCATGTACCCCCACACCCAGCAAATGTATACTTTGTTTGTTTGTTTTCCTTTTTTTTTGGTACTGGGGATTGAACTCAGGACCTTGTGATTGCGATGCAGATGGCAGAACCACTGAGCTAAATCCCTGGCCTGTATATATATATATATATTTTTTTTTTTTTAAAGACCGGTATCAT